AACTCCTGGTTCTTCTTGCTCAGGAGCGACCCCTGTTGGGGACCCGGTTGAGGTGTCTGGGATTGAATGGGGCTTGACCATACGCCTTAAGCCCTGGACTCTCTATCCAGCCCCTGGAGTTCTTGCTCTAAAGCTCTGCTCGCCCGTTTATAACAGGACCAATTACTTACCCTTTCAGGTCCTCAGGTGCAGAATGGGAGCGTTCAGGAATATCTGCTTTAAAGGATGACTGGGATGGCCTTGGAGCCCCAAGGCACCATTTCTGGGACTCTGATGAGGTGGCTTTCTCTTGAGCACCATAGGGGCTTAATAAATGGGCCCCGTCCCTGACGCCTGCAGCACGGCCGGGCTCCCTGTCGATGTTCATTACAGGCGGTCAGTGGCAGCGTGGGAGCAGACTCCCAACCTGAGGGCCATCTTCAAGGGACATCTGGTTTCTTCCGTGGCCGTCTGAAAGGATGTGGCTACATTTTTTAATTTCCTCTTTAATTCTGGAGCGCAGATGAAGAATGGGGGTGACAGCAAGCCCGGGGGATGATTCATGGTGTCATTAAGCTCACGCCAAGGTTCCCGTGGCTGTGCTCAGCCCAGACGTGGCCCAGACTCGGGCAAGGAGGGGCTCGGTCTGTGGCACTGCCGCCTGTCAGGATGCCAGCGTCTCTTTTACTCAGGCTTCACTTGGTTTTTCTTTGTGTTGGTTTGTTTTATATTTGTGTGTCTGTGTGTCTGTGTGCCTGTTCTTTATGCTCAGTGGATTTGGAAAGCTGGTGTGTGAGTCCCATAGGGGCTGCCATTCCCATCTGCAGGCAGCTCCAGGGAAGCCTGGAAGGAGAAAGCAGCAACTTCCGACCCGGTGTGCCAAGGTTCGAAGCCCAGCCCGGGCACTAAGCCATGGGACCCTGAGCAAATCATCTCACCAGTGAGCCTCAGTTTGTGTGCCCGCAGGATGAGGGCATGGCCCCGACTGGGCGAGGCATAGAGCACAGTGCAGGGGGCAGGCTTCTTGAATTCTTCAACCACTCTTTATGGAGCAGCTGTGTCCATGGCAGACACTGGGGAAGCAATGGAAACCTATTCACTCAACAGCCACGTTGTGGGATGGGCGGTGGGCGGGGGGTGGGGGGCGCGGGAGGGGGTGAGAGTGTGTGGCTCTGGCAGGTGACATGAGTCACAGGGTCTCTTTGCTGGGCTACTCAGAACAGGATGCTTATGTGTGAGCATCTTCCCAGATCACACATAAGTGAGGCCGGGCCCATCCAAGGCAAAGAAATCATCCATCGTTCAGTTGGGGAGATGCTAGTAACAGCAGTGATGGGACATGAATTGGCACCACTGGCCAGTCTGACTGCCCCACCTCCCCTCTGGCTCACCCTTTTCCTCCTCCTCCTCCTCCTCCTCCTCATCTTCCTCCTTCTCCTCCTCTTCCTCTTCCTCCTCTTCCTCTTCTTCCTCTACCTCCTCCTCTTCCTCATCTTCCTCCTTCTCCTCTTCCTCTTCTTCCTCTCCCTCCTCCTCCTCCTCCTCATCTACCTCCTCCTCCTCTTCCTCTTCTTCCTCTCCCTCCTCCTCCTCCTCATCTTCCTCCTTCTCCTCATCTTCCTCCTCCTCCTCCTCTTCCTCTCCCTCCTCCTCCTCCTCCTCTTCCTCCTCTTCTTCCTCCAGTGCTGTCTGTAGATTCCAAGAGGAATGATGAAAATGGGGGAAAGGAATAGGTGCAGTAGGTGGAGAGGAACAGGAAGAGAAAAAGAAAGAGATGAAGCAGGAGGACCAGGAGGACAAGGAAGAGAAAGAAGATTAGAAAGGAGAGGCGATAGTTAAGGATGTGGAGTAGTGGAGGAGGAGGAGGAGGAGGAGGAGGAAGAGGAGGAAGAGGATGAGGAAGAGGAGGAAGAGGACGAGAAGGAGGAAAAGGAGGAAGAGGAGGAGGAAGAGGAGAAGGAGGAAGAGGAGGAGGAGGAAGAGGAGGAGGAGGAGGAAGAGGAGAAGGAGGAAGAGGAGGAGGAGGAGGAAGAGGAGGAGGAGGAAGAGGAGGAGGAGGAGGAAGAGGAGGAGGAGGAGGAAGAGGATGAGGAAGAGGAGGAAGAGGACGAGAAGGAGAAAAAGGAGGAAGAGGAGGAGGAAGAGGAGAAGGAGGAAGAGGAGGAGGAGGAGGAAGAGGAGGAGGAGGAGGAAGAGAGAGGAATGACAGAGGAAGAGAAGGAAGAGGTAAAAGGAGGTGAGGTGGAGGAGGAGTAGCTGGGGAGGAGGAAATAGAGGAGGAAGAGGAGGGACAGGCAGAGGAGGTGAAGGGGAGGAGGCGAGAGCAGGTGGGAGCTGGTGGGGGTGCAGAGCCCAGGAGCCGAGCGTGGGAACCTGCACACCATCGGCCACCGCCACGTGGCAGAGCGGGCAGGAGATGGAGTGACCGAGCGCCCGAGTCACATCCATCATGCCCGCCTCCTCTCGGGGCCCAGACAGGACGGAAATGACTTTTGTCAGCGCCGCAGCAGCCCACTGCCCCTGGCAGCTCCAAGCTGTTTATTAAAGGAAAGAAAGAAAAGGAAAGGGGGAAAAAAACAAGAGCGAGAACGTCAGGGCGTTCTCCAGGGCGCTGGGAGTGAGTCCCGAGCGTGCGGATACTGACAGACCTCCTTCACCTGGTTTTAGCTGGGCCCATCCCTCCTGGTCAGTGCTGGTAGGTGACAGGCTCACACAGGGTCAGGGCAGGTCACACCTCTGGCTAAGGGGACACACGGCCCTGGGCCACTGGTACACGTGGTGCCTCACCTGCTGCGTACTCTTACCCCCTCTCTCCCGGACCGTCACCTGAACTTCCTTCAGTCCAGCTTGGGGCCGGCCCCAGGGCTTCAGGGAGTGACAAGTTGCCCGTTTGTGATGATGGTGTGCAATGATGTCATGGCCCTATGCACCACCATTCACGGTCCTCAGGGCCCACGATGCCAAACCTGTCTCCCTGAGGTCATCATGAGGATGGGGGTCGGGCAAGGAGGTGCCGGAGACCCCGAGATTGGAGTGGAGCAAGCCAGTTCGGGCAGGCAGGAGGTTGTGGGGAGAATCCAGGCTCGCCCCCCACGTACACACCCCAAGGAGGCCTTGAGGATGGGGGGGTGGATGATGGGGGGCGCTTATGGTACCCCTATCTTGGACTTAACCCTGTGGTCCCCACTGAGCCCCCCTCCTTCCTCCATCTGGCTGACCCGGGGTGGTGTAGACGAGGAGTTGGCCCTGTGGGTGCTTTCACCGGGCACCATGGGCACTACCCTCCCATTGCTGCCCATCTGGGGAAGCCCTTGCCAGCCTCCCCCAAAGGAGGCAGATTAGAGCTGGGGGACACTGGGGGGTGATGCTTCCACCTGAGCCCACCCCACCCAGCAGTCTCCCTGTCAGGCTCCCAGAACTCCAGGGCCCTTGGGGGGCCTCTTTTCCACATTTGTGGGGCTTTCGTCCTCCCAAACCACCCTGTGTGGGGCTGGAGAGACGGCCTGGGAGATTAAAGAGCTCGCCTGGCATGCAGCCCACCCCGGTACAGTCCCTGGCACCACATTTGGTTCTCCGGAGGGCAGAGTCAAAAGAAGCCCCTGAACACTGCCAAGTGTGGCCCCCAAGTCTACCCCCGAAAACCAAACCCAACGGTTCCTTGCCATCCGAGGATCATGTGACCGGGCATCGGAGTGGGGCCAAGCCACAGTTGTTGAAGCCCTAGACCAGCCGCCCAAGTTCTCAGGGGAGGAAGAGCCTGGGTCCTACCTGTTTCCTCTTGTCTCTGTTAGAAGGACAGTGCTGTGTGGGCCTGATTATCAGAACTCCCAGGCTTGTGTGATGGGCCCAATCCTTGACATCCAGTGCCCTTTGCCTTTTTGCTTTTTTGGCAGATAAGCTGTGGTGGGTAGGAAGGGGTAGGGGTGGTATCTCTCTCAGAGGGAGGACAGGGGTGCTTTGTTTAGGAAAGGAACCGTTCCTACTGGACTCCCATCTCTTGCTTCTTGCGGGGCAGGGGATTTTGTTTGGGGGGGGGCACCCCCTGCGGCACTCAGGGCTCACTCTGGCCTCTGCACTCAGGGCTCTCTCCTGGCTGGGCTTGGGGGACCATATGAGGGGCAGGGTCCACACTGGGGTCAGCCACGTGAAAGAAAGCAAGTACCCTCCCCACTGTGCTATCGCTCTACTGCTCTCTCTCTCTCTCTCTCTCTCTCTCTCTCTCTCTCTCTCTCTCTCTCTCTCTCACACACACACACACACACACACACACACACACAGCCCCTTTTGCTCGGAATTGTTCTAGGCTGGAGAGGAAAACTGTTCTGAGCTTGGATGTGCTAAACACCTGTGCAAGAAAGCCAAGCTTGGCGGTGTCCCAGAATAGAAGCCGCCTGCCCTGGGGGACTGGAGGCCCCCTTTCAAGTCGGTTTCATGTCTAACTGTCCCTGGTCCTCTCTCCCACTCAGTCGAGGGGGGCCTCGCTCAGGTACTTCTCGGGGCTCAGAGGCGCTCAGAAGCTGGGGCAGAGACCCCTCCTGGGGTGAGGGTGGGGCGTTAGCCCTAAAGAAACAACCTCCCTCGGGTCTCCTTCCCAGCCTTTCGCAAGCAGTTTCCTCCTTTCCCAGTGTGGACCCCCGCAGGGGGAGAGACCGAGTGTCCTGTCAGATGGGACCCTTCGTAAATCTAAGTCTTCTGGCCTCCGCGGGCCGCAGCTTTAATCTGCTCAAACATACTTAGCCGGGTTTAATTATAGACAGAAATTGCGTTTCAGAAAGCAACCAGAAATCATTTGCATGGCTTGCATTGGCGCATTAAATCACAGGGTTCATTTGAGAGGGCGCCGGGGACGGGCGTTGCCGGCGTGGCGGGTCGGGCGGTGGGGGGGCCAAAAAATGTTTTAAAAAATTGGAAAAAAATAGTGTTAGCGCCAGGGGCTGGAGCGGTGCGCGCAGGGAGGGCGCAAACTGCACCCAGGGCGTCACCCCCACCCACTGCGTGTCGTCTCCGTCTTCTCGTTGCAGGGTGCCGGAGGAGACCCGGAGCGCGCGGAGCGCAGCCAGGGACGTGCGCGGCGAGACCCCGGGGTCCCGCTCGCCCGCGTCCAGGAGCCGAGAGGCGTCCCCGCAGGCCAGGGACAGGCTGCCCAGCCCCTCGGCCGCGCTCTCGGAGTTCGTGGAAGGCCTGCGGAGGAGGCGGGCGCAGAGCGGCCGCGGCTCGGCGCTGAGCCTGGACGACTGGCCCGAGCCGCCCGTGCGCACGGTCACCGCGGCCGCCTCGCTGCGCCGGGCCCGGGCGGCCGGGGACCCCCCGCTCGGCGCCGCCCGGAGGGGCCCCGGGGCAGAGGGGCCGCCGCCTGCCCCGGGCGCTGCGGGGGCGCCCTCGGGGCTGCCCCGGGCCTCCAGTTTGCGCTGCCTCCCGCAGGCGGGCCGCGAGGACCCCTCGCCGCCGGGCTGGCCGCAGCCCCGGGAGCCCCGGTTCGGCTCCTGCGAGGCCCTCCTGGAATCGGGGCCGAGCGCGGACTGGGGGCGACCCCCGAGCCCCGCCTCCGGGGAGGGCGCGGGGGTCCTGTCGCCCACGCTGCGCCCGCGGAGGCGCTGCCTGGAGGCCGCGCTGGACGAGGCGGGCTGCCCCGAGCTGGGCAAGGAGCCGCTGGTCTTCCAGAACCGCCGGTTCGCCCGGCTCCTGGAGGAGCCCCTGGGCGGAGACCCGTTCGGCTGGAAGCCCCCGGGTCTGGGCCCCGACCGCCCCGCGCGGGGGGCTTTCGACGACTTCCTCCCGGCCATCCGCACGGCCACTGCGCGCACGTCGGGGGCCCGGGCGGACAGCGCCGAGCCGGACAGCGGGCGGCCCCAGGGGCGCGCGGAGTCGCAGGAGGCCGGCGCGGGCTTCTTCTCGGGGCTCAAGACCCTGCTGAAACAGAGCCCCCCGTCGCGGGAGGGGGACCCCGGCCACCCGTCGGACTCGTCCTCGGCAGCCTCCGTCGCCTCCCGCAGGAGCAGCCCCGGGACGCGGCGGCGGCGGGAGGGCGACGGGGGTGAGCGCGGGTGCCCCGAGGCCAGGGAGCGGCCCCCGGGCGCCCGGAGGCCCGAGGGGGAGGAGGAGGACGTGGAGAGCATCATGAAGAAGTACCTGGGCAAGTAGAAGTAGGGACCGTGCCCCCCACCCCGGGAGGGCTGGCAAAGCAGGGAGAGAGAGAGAGAGAGAGAGGAGAGAGCGCGCTGAGCCCACCCCCACCCGCGGCTCGGGCGACCCCCAAGAAGCAGGCGCAGCGCCTGCCTTTCATGCCGGGATAGATTTCTCTAGGGACCCGGGTTTTGTCGAGGCCTTTAGCTGTTGCTGGATGCGAGGCCCGCGCCAGGGCCAGGGCCGGGGCCTTTTTTCTTTGCTCTTATAAAAGGAAAAACAAAAAAAAGAAGAAAAAGAAGAAGATATGGCAGATGAGCCAGAAGCCTAGAAATTCCTCAGGGATAATGCTAAAAGAAGGTGCTGCTGGACTTTGATAGTGCCCCTGGGGTCCACTCTTGCCTTAAATATATATATAGAGAGAGAGACACTGGGGGGATGGGGGGGTCGTGGTGGGTGGGAAAAGTGTAAAGGTCGCAGCGACTGTTGGGGGAGGTCTTGTCTTTCCCAGCCTTGCCGGTCCCCCCACGCCTCGCCCTGCTCTGGAATAAAGGCAAGAAGCAAAATTCACTTTCCACATGACATCCTTCATGCCAGCCGAGACCTACTTGTCACTGTGTGTGTGTGTGTGTGTGTGTGTGTGTGTGTGTTCCCCCCCTCCACACACACAGTGGTCCCCAAGACGGAGTGTGCAGTTGCTTCCCTCCCATTTTCCAGGCTGACAAAGAGTGGCAAAAAGGTGGTCCAGTATCCCTCAGGCAGGGGCCGGAGTGATGGAACAGCCGGGAGAATATTTGTCTCGCACGTGGCTGAACCGGGTTCAATTCCAAGCATCTTGTACCCTGAGCCCCACCAAGAGTAATCCCTGAGCGCAGAACCAGGAGTAAGCCCTGAGCATCACCAGATGTGGCCCAAAGACCAATAAATAAATAAAAGCATCCGATGAAGCTGGGGTCCCCCAGGTAGGAGCCTTCACACCCACCTCCTGCAAGGGCTCTTCCGTGTCCCCAGTAAACTCAGAGCCTCAAGCAAAAGAGGAGGTTCCCTGCCTTGACTCCCCCTAATGGAACCAGACATCAGGACCAGAAATCTTAAAGGGGTGTGGGGGGGCCTCGGAAGCTGAGCCCAGGAGAAGGTTCCAGACCAAGTCATCCCATAGGCCCACAGACCACCCAGCTGGCTTCCTGCTCGGTGCTCTGTGCCCACAGACAGCCCCTTGGGGGTGTTCAAAGCTTCAGTTTGGGGTGAGCAAAGGTCACTGTCTGGGTTCAGACACAAGGTTGACCCCCTGCCTGAAGACCCACGGCCTCCCAGGAACCCCAGAGCAAATCCCAGAACACAGCACAGCCCTAGGATAAAGACCGGGAGTGCAGGGGGGCGGCGGGGGGCTGCGGCCCTGTGCCTCTGCCCCTACCTTGCTCAGCACTCGGCTCCCCTTCCACCTTGAAAGGCCCGATCCTCGGGGCCCAGCCTCCGCCCGTGCCAGCGCCGGCGGCCCTTCCTCGGAGAGCAAATTAATTTGACTTAACATGGCCTTCTCTCTGCTCTCAATTACTGGGCGGCAAGCCGATATCCATTTACAAGATGACGCTCTCGGGGACACGGAGAGGAGCTCCAAAGGCCAAGTAAAGGGCACACGTCTGTGAGGGGGACAGTCCTTAGCAGAAGTCACCCCAGAACATCTTGTCTCTGTCACATTTTTTTTCCTTTTTACAAACTCAGTCCCTCCTGCCTGTGACTGCTGCCTCCCTGGTTCCCCTGGATACCAGAGCGGCGACTGCCTAGATACCCAGAGCTCAGCACTCCGACCCCCCCCCAGTGGGATTTGGACCCTCCCCTGCACCCCTAGGCTCACTTCCTCCCAGAACAGGACCCCTCGAGACCTTGTGCAGGCTCTGGGCCTGGCGCACCTCTGTCTTCAGCTGGGCCAAGGGGAATCTTTCCCTGGTGGTCTAGTGGTTAGGGTTCGGCGCTCTCTGCTGGGCCGAGGAGAGACGCTGAGCCACAGAGACGCTATGGGAGGACAAGTCAGGTGGACCCCGTGCTTTTGGACACTGTGTCCTGAATTTCCACCACTGGGGTCCCTCTGCCACCCTCACACCTTGCCTCTCTGCAGCCTCAATGCAGGAATGTCAACTGGGGCTCGGGGACCCTAGGTCTCCGCCACTTCCCCTTGCCCCACACAAACGTGTGTGTCACTCAGATCTTTGTGGGCAGCTTCCTGGAGTCCTCACTGTCTGGAGAGGCAGATGCGGGGCCTCACTCTGGTCCCAGCCAGCCTGGCTGTCCCCCCACCCCAGCCCATGTTCAGAGGATTCCTGCGTACCTGGCAGATGTGTGGCTCCTGGTGGGCGTGGTCTGTATCAAATAAAGAGGTGGCCCCATGGCACCAGGAGCATCTCTGTCTGTCCTGTGATCCTGTTACTTGGGGCACGGGGGTTGGGGGTGGATGGGGTCCTGTTCCGTGTGTGTAGAAGGGTTTTGAGCCACAGGACCAACTGAAATGGGGGTCCACTGCTATTTCCCTTCCTACATATCTACATGTAGTGCGTGGTCTTCTTCCCCCACTCCCTGCCCCAGAAAACGTTCAACGCAGGAGTCACCTCCTCCAGGAAGTCTTTCCTGATCATCAAACTGAAACAAATGCTTCATCTTCATTCTCCCTCAATTTCACCACTTAGATCTATCACATTTTCCTCATCTATGCATCGATGTTGTGGAGGTACGTGTCCACACATTCTAGAAATTTTGCGGAATGAAAGAGAGATGCACAGTAAGTGGTATGTGGACAGAGGTACTTCCCTGAAAATGGCCTCCTGAGTGGATCTTGAAGAACTAGAGTATGAATCCCAGCCTGCCTCCCCCTCACCTACACAGCCTTGCTATCCTCACACACGAGCGTGTGAGAGAGACGGGGAGAGAGAGAGACAGAGACAGAGGCAGAGAGAGAGCATGTACCATAAATGAGGCTGACCAAGGAACCTTCTTTCACACCATTCCCTGCTTCTACATACATCTACGACGAGTAACAGAAAAATTATTGGCTGGTGTTTATTGATCATGTACTATGTGCTGGATACTGTGCTTGGCATTTTCCCGGGTGCAACTTGACAAAAACTACCGAGAGATCAAATGTAGTTATTAACACCCCTTACAAGGTCAGCTCACTTGTACAAAATCATGTGGGCAATATTGAGATCCAGAACTCCAGGATTCATTTTTTTCTCACATTTTGGTCCCTGGGTACCTACTCTAAACATCGTCTTATGCCCAGAGTGAGGTTGTACCCACAGTAGAGAGTGAGCACTGCCTCTATTTAAATTTCCTCAGTGAGGTAGAAAGGAGCCCTCATCCACTGTGGGTGAGAAGGCCATCTGGTCCAGCCTCTGTGGAAAGTAAGATGGAAATCTATCAGAAATAGGAATATAACTACCATATACCCTGCATCTATGTCCCAAATACAAGAACATTCATTTGAAACAGTATTTGCACACCTGAGTTCAGTACAACACTTAGTACACTAGCCAATACACAGAAACAATGCAGATGCCCAACTATGGAAGAATGGATCAGAAAGTTGTGATTCACATACAATGGAATACTATATTATACTATACTACATATGACAATATACTATATATACTACATCACTGTCACTGCCCTCCTGTTGTTCATAGATTTGCTCAAGCAGGCCCAGTAACATCTCCATTGTGACAATTGTTACTGTGTTTGGCATATCAAATACACCACGGGTAGCTTGCCAGGCTTTACGTGTGGACAAGATACTCTCAGTAGCTTGTGGGCTCTCTGAGAGGGGTGGAGGAATCGAACTTGGGTTGGCCATGTTGGCCGCTTGCAAGGCAAACGCCCTACCTGCTGTGCTATTGCTCCAGCCCATATACTACATATAATACTATATGGATTACTATATAGATACACAGTGAAATTCTATGCAGCTCTAAGAAAGAACAAAACCATGCAATTTGCAGTCACATGACTGGAACCTTTCATGCTGAGCTAAGCCAGTGAGAAAGAAAGGGACAAACACAGGATGATCTCTCGTAGGAGAGACTCAAAGATACACAGTACAGTAGCAAAAAAGAAACGAAGGAGAACTGGTCCACACAATTGAGTGTTGGGGGCGGGGATGAAACGGAGAAGTGCTGGAGCCCTTGGGGGAGGGAGGTGAACACACTGGTGATGGGTGTGGTGCCGAACTCATGTGCATGAGAAGCCATCTTTAACAGCATTATCAATCACAGAACCTCAAATTTTAAAAAATGAATCAAGTGGGGCCTGAGCAGTAGTACAGCAGGGAAGGCATTTTCCTTGCACGCGACCAATCTGGTTTTGGTCCTTGGCATCCCATATGGTCCCCAAAGCCTACTGGAGTAATCCTTGAGCACAGAGGCAGGAATAACCCCGAGTACTGCCGGATGTAGCCCCCCACAAACAAGCAAAACCCATATAAATAAATAAAATCCTAAAAAATATATATATTTTTAATTTCCCTGTGGCAATAGACTCCAGCCCTAGCCCAAATGTGCCTCCAGCCCTAGAATCCCTCTGGTGTAACCAGTCATGGGCCCGGATTTGAGCCCAAGGCTGTGTGTCCTGGGTCCTAGAATTCCCCTACAAGGTCCACTGGTAGAATGTCCCTGGGGATCCCATCACTTCCCTCTGGCCATTGTTTCCATCTGAGAGGTTATTGGGACCCATTCTCTAGGAAGAGGCTCGACTCACTCCTGGCTTTGCCCCTATTTGAGTTGCGATCTTGAGCTTTTTATTCATATCTCAAGGCCTGGGTATTTTCTTGGGCACCACGAGAGAGGAGTGTTAGCGCCCTTCCCAACAGCAGAAGCATGAGAACAAGACTGAGTGTGCCCATTGTCCAGAATGCAGAAACTGAGGCTTGCCGAGACCAACAGACAGAAATGAAGGAGCCAAGGTTGGGATGCAGAGCTCTCAGCCCAAAGCTAGTCTCAAGACGGCCCCTTTCTAGTTGTGCTATTTGGGGTGATGCTGAAAGGGAAGATTAAATCCTGGCCAGGACTCAGGCAACACCCCCCACCTGCCCTCAGGTGTTCAGGCCCCACTATCATCAGCCCTGACCTATGCAGTCTCCCTCCAGGATGGGTGGGGTTGGGGGGCGGGGAAAGTTCCCCTAGTGCCCAGACTGCTCGACTGTCTTTAAGGAAACCCAATTTCATGCCTACTGGCTCGAGTGACTTTCATCAAATTACCGGGGCACGGGAAGCCACAGAATAGATTTAAGCTCGTCCTTTCCCTCCCAGACAGGTAAGG